TACAGCAGTGACACAGTACATAAATAAACCACTGTATAATCCGGTAAGATAATAGTTTTCTCAGGATGCAGGTTGCTGCCATCTGCCCTTTATAAAAGGGAGTTTTTGTATACGGTTGCTGGGAAGGGAACTTCTCCAAAACCAGCAGCGGGCAATGGAAGTCTTCATCTCCCCGCCTGCAGACCGCCCCTGAACTTGCTGGCCTTTTGGAGGCCCTGTGGCTTGCCTCTGGGCTTGTGAGTCCTTGGGATGCTTGCGCACGCACTCCTCCGGTCTGGCTCCCTCAGAGGAGGCAATGCATTCCTAGTGACTTGATCAGAGATGTAGGTTACGAAAGAAAATATAGCACAAACCATAACTTTGGATTGAGATTAAGACTATTCTTCCTTTCCCATTTCATTGTTCATCGCCTTGGGCTCCTTAAGCATATCCAACCTGCAGGCACTGGAGAACCAGGGTTGAAAGACACACTCTTCTTTTAGGTGGCCTCCGTAATACTGGATGAAAGATTTTACCACATTTTTTTTTTCCTGGCAGTGTCCTGTCGTGACCAATGCAAAGACAGTAATTGTGGCTTGCCTGAAGGATCATTATGCCTGAAATTCAAAATATTTCTGGGTTGTACTCTCTTTACAACGTTTTCTACGTGGTGTGACTTCAACCAGTTGTCCCCTGCCCAGTCGCTCTGCGTGTCTCCCCTAGATCCCGAGCGTACGGTACCCTGTATGCCGTACATCCAGCCATCATACTTGTTACCAGCTCTGTGACTTTTGGCACGGGATCAGCTTCTCTGATACTTGATGCAGTCGGGCGCTTGTCTGCCCTGAGGGATCCTGAACACTGCCCGTTGCCAGTGCACGAGTTTCTGTGCCCTGACGGCTGCTCAGAGCAGGTAATTTGGACGCAAAGCACATGCTGTATGCTGGCTCGGACCCTTCTGGGGACATGGGGGACGCTGGGGTGCAGCCCTGCTGCAGAGCAGACCTGCCATGGGCAAGCAAGCCAACAGCAAATAAAATTGGATTAGTCGGTCTTTTAGTATTGTCCTCTGTAACCTGCAGAACTAAAATGACTTTTCTGATATTTATCTTTCAACATCCAAATGCAATTTAAAATCCACGCAAGAAATAAGATCTGCTAACCTGTGTCCCATTACTGAGCTTCAAAGCCATGTCCCTTCACAGCCATAGTCTCTACTACTTAAGAAAAACGTGTTTTTCATCTCTACTACTCAGGAAACGTGTTATTTTATGAAGAAAACACAACACCATATTTTCATTTTGGCACAGAACTATGAAGTGAACATGATTATTCTTTTAGGCAGTTTAATTGATTTGAAACGTTCCTACAGAAGACTTCGTTCTTGTCTAGTAGTCTCTGTATAGATTGCAGAATGCTTTAGAAAGCAAAAGGAGAAAAAGTGTTAAATGCTCCTTAGCTAGCTACAGACATACACAGATGTTTTAGATTAAAGAATCTGTTCAGTTTGTACCATAAGTAAAGAAAAAAATCCCCTAAATTCCCTTGCTAAAATTAAGACAATCTGTGTACTCACTCAGAGCATGTGGAGATCACCCCAGGTCTGTGCCCTCCTCGGGCATTCTGTTAAACATTTGCTGATTTGTTAAACTCATTCCCATTCAGCAAACAAACTCAGGCGTGTTACTTCTAATGAAACCCGTGGGCTTAAGCTCAGCCAGAAGTAGGTCTCTCCTAAAGCTTCTCTAACTCGGCCTTTCCCATCTTACGCTGGCGCTGGTTTGTGGGGTTCAGCGGCTCACAGGGTGAGCCCTGGAGCACAGGGTGCTCGGCGCTGCCGGCAGTGGAGGCGAGGGAGCTCTGTGTGCACTGACGGTGTCCGTCCAGCCCCGGCACAGCCGGGCAGGTTTAGCCTTGGATCCTGCACCTGAGCCTGATGAATGCTCTTTCCTTTGAACTTCCAATGCATGTGGTTGTGGCCTCTTTCCAGGCTGCGTTTTCATCTTCCGCACATCTTCTCTTCTTTTAATGCTTACCTGCCATCCTCTGCTGAAGCCAGCCGTGCCCACCCTCTGTGCTTACATGCAGAGAGATCTTGCATGTAAGATATCACTGGCACTAGCAATCGTTGTGTATTATATATTTGCATCCACACATCACCTTAACATTTCCTGGTTTGCAGTAACTTTATAAACAGTAATTTTCTCTGGTTTAGTGGTAATGGTCACATTTTTGTTGTTGGAGACCATCTGCCAAAAATAATTACTTAAAGCTTGCGCCTGCTCTCGCATTTCCTGGCTTTAGCCTGATGCAGCCTAACCTGATTTCAAGGGCGTTACTTTTAGTTTATCGCAGCCAACGCAGGATCAAATGCATGGCATTCAGAGAGGCCGCAGGCCTGCAAACATGTTTTTTCCTCCTCTCCTCTGAGATGCCCGAGTTATTGTATGCAGGCTACCTCGGGTATCTGAGCTGCACGGGGCAAACCTGGCAGGGCAACGGTGCTGCGGAGGCTGGGGTAGAGGCAGACTTTGGCCAGGAACGGTTAGCTTTACCCCTATAGGTGTGTATCCATCTGTCCACCCGTGCTTCAGCCATATGTGCACTTTATCGTATCTGCTTGTCACTACATAATGGTATTAACACCATCTCCCATAAGACTGTAGACCAACACTGAGATGTGTTCACAAGTCTTTTTCTATACTCCTGTAAAAAGTGCTTTTTAACAGTTTCTGAACTTTTTTTTTTTTTTAAGAGAAAAGAACATTTCCAAGCCATTCACATGTGCAAGAAGGGCTTTTATTTTTGCCTTAAGCGACAGCCATCAAGGTCTGAGCGGAGAATAGTGCTCTACCTTACAGCAGGCAGGACAACCAGCGGGCAGTCACGGCTCGAAGGTCCCACAGTGAATAATCTTGCAGGCTACCGTAGGCCTTTCATTACATGTAGGTACAGCTTCCAGCCTCTGTAGGACCTCCGTGCCCTCGATCAGCTGCCTACGGGAGGGAGAAAGTGCACATACGATCCATCTACTGTCCGGAGCCAGCTCTGCAGCCTCCAGCTTGCGCGGGGCTGAAACGAACCCAGGCACGGGTTTCCTATTGACAGGCTGTGTCTGCTCCGCTCTTTAAAAAGTTGTTCTTTGCAGTGGAGTTGCAAACACCGTCACTGCTTGATTAAGTAGCTTCTAGTTGGCATTTTAGGAGAGATGAAAATACTGTGGCTTTATGCAGTGACGTTTATTTAAAGAAATAAGTGGTGTACCACATGCCCCGGCTACAAATGGCCATTACTTTTGAGGAGAAAGAAGTCAAGAGACACGCTGTCAGCAGTGACAGTATTAGAAGTGACTCCCTGAGAAATATCTTTCATTTCCGTCCTTCACAGCACCAATATGAATCCTGAAAACAGTCCAACGTTTTGCAGTCTTTACGATTTTCAGCCTGCCCTGCTCCCATGCTGTGAGAGTGCGAGCTGTGCCTCCTGCAGGCGCCAGGCATGGCGATGGATGCCAGCAGCGCTCCAGAAAGCTCGGTACCATATCCCATCCCATCCCATCCCATCCCATCCTGCCCCATCCCATCCAGCACAGCGGTACCAGGCAGAGAGGACACTGGAGGCAGCCCGTGGCCCAAGCAGGGATGTCAGAAGGACTGAGCCAGCACAGGGCTGGAAAGTGCCCATCTGTCCTCGTCGTATGCTGTGGCTGCTTTTTGCTCCCTCAGGATTAAACTCCCACTCAGACCGAAGAGGTTTGGCTATAGGATCATGGATCCCACACCTTTCTGATTACACAGAACCGGTGGCAAGGCAGAAACTTGAGGTGAATGCCGCTGGTTATAAGTACATCCAGCCAGCAATCGCTTTTGGTTTGCTCTCTGTAGGTTAGACAGTTGTGCTTTTCGCTTCCTTTAAAAATGCTGTCTTTCTCCATGATGTGGTTACATGGAAACTGCACCATGGATTTCTCTCTCTATGGTAATACGTACATATTTTGCTCCCTTCTGTCAAGCAAACAGCTCGGAGCAATAATCTTCCTTATTACATTCCTGAAAATCTAAAACTCTTAACAGGGCCAGCCCTATACATGTATACATACAGAACTAACTCTCAGCACGCATTCACTAAGATAATTTCTTTCAGCTCATGAGGGCAGAGAAGAGCCTGGAGGCTTTGCTCAGCACTCCCCTGTCTGTCAGGGCCCCTGTTCGACTGACACGGAGCTCCGCAGGCATGGATTTGTAGTCTTTGTCCTGGAGAGGACCCAGCAGCTGCCTCAGCTTGGCCATAGGGTTTTCCAGCTCGAACAAGCCAGGCCAGTGCAGGGAAAGGGAGGGATGGGTGTCAAATCTGACACTTTCCCATCCTCCCCCTGGGAAGAGGCATCAGTGTTGCAGCTGCCATAGGGATTTCACAGACACTTCCTCCCCAGCAGCAATGTCCTGCAGGGCTGGAGCAACCTCCCGCGCGCCGCAGTGGCGGCAGGCTTGTGCGTACCTACCCAAAAGCCACGTATTTTTTGTCCAGGTAGGGAGCTGGCTGGAGGGTGATGTAGAACTGCGAGCTGTTGCTGTGGCGGCCCTTGTTGGCCATCCCAAGGACCCCTCGTCCCTTGTGACGGACGGAGAAGCTTTCATAGTTGCTCCCTTTGCTGCTATTCACCGTACAGCTCCCTTCTGCCAGCTCCCGCAAGCTCCCCTTCCCTTCTTCCCCGCTCTCCCTTTCCCTTCTCCTTTTCCCCCGAAGGTCTCGAGTCTCATGCGAGCAAAGTCCAGTTTGAATCAATGTCCTTCCTAGAAAGAGCTTCCCATGGCTGCCTAGTGCTTAAGGCAGTAAAGAAGCTAATGAAAAATATTAATGAAAAAGTGCTCAAGGTATTTCTAAATGTCAGAGCCACAGCAACGATACCTCTGTCTCCCTGTTGTCGGTCTGTAATGCCTCTAAGCAGAGGAGCTCGGGGCACTCAGTGTGGCATTTCCCCATGGCTACGTGGGATTATTCCCACTGCATGGATGAAGCAGGCAGGAGGCGGAACGGGTGCTCCAAGCGTCCCCCATGACCTGAGACAGGTCTGTGAGGGCAGGACTGGGGTTGGATGCCCGACTGCTCCCGGTGCTCAGCGACTCGCACGGGAGGGCTTCTTTAGCCCAGTAAAATGAGAGCTGAACGAATGGAGGGCAGATATTTAGTTAAGCAGGTCAGGGAGCTCCCTGGGCAGAAGCTTTATTCAGCAGCTGGGACAAGGAGAGGAGGCAGTCGATGGGAGACGCAAGGCAGGGGCGAGCGAGAGCTGTGGGGAGGTGAAGAAGATCTGCTGTGCTGGCTGAGGAGGGACTGGTTAGGGAGAGAAGAAACAGCTCTCAGGAGGGATGACTGGGGAAGGAGAGGCATAAGGCATGCTTGGCTTTGGGGGGTGATGGTAAGGACTCGACTCCACCGTGGAGGGGAGCCCGGCTACGAGGTGAGGAGCAGGGGTTGCACTGATCCTAGCCTCCTCTGTCACCTGTCTCCGACCTGATTGCACTGAGTGGCCAAGAGCCCCACTGAACTCTCAACAAGCTTGAAGGAAACTGTAGAAATGCTTAGGTTTTATTGTTCTCTGATTTTTTTTTTTTTAATTCTTTTTACCCTGTTTGAGTGCCCTTCTCAGAATCTGATTCGTAAAAATGGTAATTAAATTTTAACTGAACAGTTGCTCCCTGACCACTGCCTTGCGGTTTGCAAAGTGAATTCAGCAGACTAATTCTGGAGCAGGATGCTTTGTCCTATGACATGACGCTCTGGTCCGACTGATTCTCTGTAATTACCTCAGTCCTTTCAGCTCGTTACAGTAAAATGCGGTTGCGTCCCATTAATTTCAGCAGACGTTGCAGTGCCCGGACATGTGCCAAGCGCGGCGTCGCCCAGAACATTACCGGCTGACAGAGGCATCTCTCACCCTTTTCAGATGTCGAAGATATTTGTCCTCTGCCCTCAGTGTAAAACAGTTTGGCGAGAAGTACTGGGAAAGCACTCTAAGCCTTAAAATAGAAAGGCATACCCAAGGGAGCACCTTTCTCAGGCATGAAAAACAACTTTTAATTAAAAAAGGGGAGGGGAAGAATTAGCAATCTTCTCCTTTAATGCATCAACACATGGAGTGTGTGCAATATGGGTAATAAAACTCTTCTAGGGACACTTTCAAGGTTGACAGCTTCCAAATTAAATCCACCTTAAAATTACTTAAGTGATTGTTGACACATTGTCACCTTCCCACATGACACGGCAGCTCCTTTCCTGGGTGGCACAGGGAAAGCATAAGTTTTGCCTGGAGGAGGAGGATGGATCCGGGAGCAAAACACCGCACACTGGGCTGGGGTGTTGTGCGGCAGCCCGGGCAGCGCACGTGGGGCTGTAGCTCTCCTGCAGGCAGAGGTGCCTACGCATGCTCAAACTCATTTTCCTCCATGGAAAAATGTGCGAAGGGTGTGAGATGTGCACTAGCACAAATCGATTGGGTAGCATTGCTGGAAAAGAGGATTCACAAACTTTTAAATCCTTGGTGACATCCGCCTTGCAAACAATTTAACAGCCAGTCCTAGTTTTTTCCTATACCAGCTTATATTCCTTCTGAGATGAGCGTGCCCTGAGAGTCTAGGCTTGCTGCTATTTCAGGAGCTCCAGCATCAAAAAGTCATTTTTGCCCACTCTAGGCAGCCTGAGGCATTTGTTGCCTTAAATCCTGCACGCCAGGCTTCCACTTCCAGCAGCTTTCCTGCCCGCCAGCGCTGCAACTCAGCCGGGCAGAGTGGGCTAGCCACCCGCTTCCAGACGGGTTTTGCTCCGTCTGTGCCGCGGCTTCAAAGGTGAGAGCGGCTTCTCCTCGCGACTAGGCTCGTCAGTGTCTTGGGAAATAAAGTTTTCGGCTCCACTTGGCATTTCTGATCTCTGTGTTTGGCTGCTGCCCAGCCTGCTCGAATGTCACATCGTTTGTGCCATTGGCAGTGGGAAAGCTTTTACATAAGGGAACATAAATCAGTTTCAAAAGTGCTTTAACTGTCATAAAAACATTTTTATGGGTAGCATTTAATCTAAATAGAAGATCCCAAATGTCTATGTCAATTATATGGGTTGTTTTTCTTAAATAGTGCAAGTTATAATGTTCTCTTTTCTTTACATTTTATTACTTTATACCAGTACGGGGGAACATTTTTTGTCAAACTTAGCTTGTGTTTGTCATTTCTCGACTTTCATGGGTTTATATGAGATTGAGAAATAACTCTCCTTGCATCAGCAGTCAGGTAGCCTCTGGCAGCGATGCCTGCGGTGTCCCCAAGCCTGAAAAGCTGCCCGAGGTCCAGGAAATCTAGAGTTAAAGCTGACTTACTTCCATTCCTTTAAGTGCATTTATAGAAGTGGTGTCCGGTGCCTGGAGATCTGTAGCTAACCCACTTCTACATTTCTAAGGTCCTGTCCACAAGGTGATGAAGCAGCCAAATGGGTGACCACCAGCCCTCGTTTAGGCCGGGAGAAGGGGCTGGTGGAGCTGAGCATTGGGCAGGGGATGTCAGAGGAGGGGACCAAGGTTACAGATCAAAAAGCGACCTCGCTAAAGCAGTCTGCTCATGCTAATGCAAGCAGATAATAATTCTGACTGAAAAGCAAACCCGTTTGCTTTAGGGGCATGAAAGGAAATGTCCAGGTTGTTCTATGAATAAAATCAGGTAAACAACTTGATTTATGTGAAAATTTGCCGTAAGGTCGCTGGGGAACCATACCTTCAAAGGTGGGACCATAAATTGACTCTCCTCCATCTCCCTTTCCAGTTATGATGTCTGTAGGGTAGATAAAAGTGACCATCAGAGACCAGGTTTACCACAGGTGTTATTGGGGGTTTCCCATGAGCAGCTCAGCTGAGGTCAGAGACGTGGGTTGTGCATCAGCGGGGGGGGAGGGCATAACTGCACCCATCGTTCTCTTTTACTACTGAAATTGTATCAGACCTTTGGGAAGAGCTCCGCTCCCATCCCAAGAGATGGCTGCTCTGCAGAGAACTTTAATCGGCTGCCCCTCTGAGAAGGTCCAGCATCTCCTGCTGGGAGAGCTCCTGCAGTGGTGGCGGCCAGCCAAGGAAGGGGCACCCTGGAGAAGGACGCCTGCCGGAGGGAGTGGGGTTAGAAGAAGGAGGGATGAAAATGCAGCTGTGCTATTATGGTGAGTTAAGACCACTAACTTGTCTTAAGAAAAGAGATTTGATAAGAGAGAAATTCCTACTGACCCAGATTTCTAATGAGTAAGGCACTAAAGAAACACGATGCTTCTATTTATTTTTTTTTAAAGAAGTCTGGGTTTGTTACTTTATTTAGACATTGTCTTATAGCAGCCAGGTTGGGGTTAGTCCTCTACAGTAGCAAGCTTGTCATTTTAGGTTGCTTTTATGGGCTACAGAGATATCTGCATAGTTGTTCACGAAAAGCAGGAGGTGTATCTTCAAAGTATAAACTCGAAATAGATTTCTAAGTGCTCACATTTGGAGCAAGGCAAACCCCGGTAGGTGAGATGTACGATAGACCACAAGGGAGTGACAAAGGAAATGCCTTCTGATACACCTAATGGTCTTGACTTCCCTGGGCATGTCAGGTGTGTGACCCATTGGTCAGGGTGCCTTTCTCCTCGGTGCCACACTCCAAGCTTAGGACTGGGGTTTAGATAACTCCCTCGCACGTTTGCAAGGGCTCTGACACTTGGCTAAATGCCTCCATAAATTACTCTCGTTATAAAACAAGTAATATATTTTGCTATGGATATTCTAAGTGTTTTTATGTTTCCCATTAGTTTCCTAATTACTTACCAAAGAACTCAATGGAAGAGAGTTTTAATGTTTTCAATTAGTTTCCTAAATTCTTTCAAAAAGGTCTGGGATAATCAAAAGAACAAATTATCCAGACTTTTCCTATGTTTAGAAAGTGACGTGGCCTCAAGTTGCACCAGGGGAGGTTTGGACATTAGGAAACATTTTTTCACCGAAAGGGTTGTCAAGCACTGGAACGGGCTGCCCAGGGAAGTGGTCGAGTTCCCATCCCTGGAGGTATTTAAAAGACGGGTAGACAAGGTGCTTAGGGACATGGTTTAGTGGTGGGATGGCAGGTTTAGGTTAAGAGTTGGACTTGATGATCTTAAAGGTCTTTTCCAACCTAAACAATTCTATGGTTCTATGAAAAGGGAAAATGTTTTCTGGTTTTTATATATATTAAGAGATTAGCTTTGTCCTGGAGCTCAGTTATGTCTCTGTGGATGAAGACTGTTCATGCAGATTATCCCCCCCCTTGTGCTGTAACTCAGTTTACTCAAGACACCTGGAAACTCACCTCCTCCTTGGATCCACCCGTTTTCCACGAGGCGATGAAAAAGGGAGTTTTTATAGGTGAGCTCTCGGCCATCGCAGGGAGACTTTGCTCCTCCAGCACACAGGGCACGGAAATTCTCACAGGTCCTGGGACACGCATCTGAAAAGAGCTGCAAAAGCAAGGAGAGGAAAACACTTGTGAAATCCCTAGCTGAAAACATGTGAAATTCCTAGCTGATGTCCACCGGCTAGATTTCTCTCCCCCCCCACATTCGGCAGGTGAAATCACCGCGCTGGGTGGACTCGTTCCTCGCTTTTGCTTTTCTCCTTTGTAACATACCTCAAAGAGCAGCCTCCCGATGGGCTGTTCCTCAATGGCTATGTCCAGGTACACAAACACGTGCTGTTTAAAGCAGAAAAACAAATGCAGTTAAGGGCAAGGCCAGCTCTCCGTGCTGCACTCGCTTCCTAATGCAGGCCAGGTTCCGGCTGCCCCGCACGAATGGTCTCAGAATGCACAACTGTGCAACAGCATTCCTTCTATTTTGCTTAAATAAACAAAAAAGTAGAGGATGTTTCACTTCATTCTGGGCAGAAATAATCCTAACAGTGTGTTAAAGCGAGCTACTGGGCAGGGCCTGCTTCTTCCTCTTGCATTTACTTACGTGCCTGTTGCAGCCCATACAATACAGGCAGGAATAAATGAATCCGTGGGAACAGCAGCCACCCTACCAAAATGGACATTTCTCGCTTTTCCCCGCCAGCCTCAAAGCTGCATGCCAGTGATGCCGTATCTTCTACATTAATCATTTTAGTATGACATTTTATTTTTCTCTGCTCTCAATACTGTGTTAGTGCGGGGCCGCATCGCACCTCATGACACCATGGAGGTCTTCGCTGGGAAAGGAGAGCTTTAGCAGTTGGGCTTTTGGTATCCAAGAATAAGGGTACCCAAGAGCTTTGGGTACCCTTACGTAGCCAAGGTTTGGGACTTCGGAGCAGCACAGTTGCGGCACGGTCAGCAATGCACTTTTGTTGGACCGTTCAGCCCCAAAGCAGTTAATACATGTCAGGCATCCAGGCGAGTGTTTCCCTTTCCTGGCTGCCGAGGGGCCCGGAGGCTCTGCCTTCCTCATCTTCAGCAGGGGATGCTCGCCAGCAGCCTCTCCATCCCCCAGCTCTGGCTCTGCTTCATACTCCTCTCCTAAAACAGCGCTACTTGCCTGGCTGTTTTTCAGATATTTGGTGTAGAAATCCTCAGCAATCGCTTGGTAAAGTGCCTCGGGCTTAAAGTCGCGATAGTCCCACTGATGGTAAGACCACTTGAGCAGCTCCTTCTCGTCCCCCAGCAGCTGGCCACCAACGAAGCACATCACCGAGGATGCATACGCCCACACCTCACATCTCAGTTCCTGCATTTCAGGGGGACAACATAAAGCCTCCAGGGATTATTTACACCTTTAGCAAAGAATCCATCAGTAATAATCCACCACGCCTGTGATATTTGTACGCCTTTCCTACTTTTCAAACCACAAATCCTGCCAACAGGAAGGGATTGGGCAGCAGTTTTCGGTGAGGTGTGCTGATGCCACATGCAGTTACGTGCCCTAAAGGGCTGGATCCTGCTGCTGCGGGACATTACCATGGCGGCAGTCACCTGGGTGTCAGTTTGGGGGGCAGCTCAGACTGAACAGGAAAAGCACCGGGAGAGCCCCATCCTGCCCCGAGGGTCTCTGAGGACATTAAATAAAGCAGAGTAGAAAAGCCCACTTCTGAAATCTGTGATAGGCACCAAGCTGCCAGAGAGCGGACGTGTGTCCAAAACAACCCGAGGAAATAAGTTACCTTTTTTTTCTCCTGTAAATATTCATGCCATGCAAATTCTACTAAAGGCTGTATTACAGGATCTGCAAACTTGCTTGGAAACTTCAGCTTCAGAGCCTAAAAGTTTTCAAGGTAAGGAAAAAGAGTTGCTTACAAGCAGTTTAATACACACACACCCCCCAATCCTATCACAGCCTGTATTTCCCTCATGAACTACAACCTAAGCCACGTTCTAATCCTGTTATTGCACTGGACCCCTCATGCCTCTGGCGTAATTCCTGACACTTGCAGAAGTACACGCCGACCGTTCTAAGACCCTTTTTGCAGATGTAGTGGGTGTCTTGTTTTTCTATGACGGACTGCTTCACAAATATTGAATTACACAGGTACTCCCCCCCAGCTCCCACATGAGATGGATGTAAGCAGAGAGACATCTATGAGCACCACCACTGCATTTTTGCATGCATTTTGCAGGCACAGGGAGTTGCGGTCCTCTACTGTCCCAGGAGGTTGGGCCCAGGGTCTTGGGGCAAGCATGTGGCCTGGCGACAACTACAAGGTGAACGTTTCCAGTCCCTGTTGCTTGTACCATTGCCTCAGGAGCACAGCACTGTTCAGATAGGGGACATTCCTGTCCATGGTTTTAGCTTCCTCTCCATGTGGGCTGTACACAAGTGCCACAAGCTGCGGCTTAAAACCAGCCCAGCTGGCCTTAAAAAGTGAAGAAGTGACTTTCTCTTCAGCTCCCAGTCGCTGTTGCTGTTGTTGGGACAGTGGCTGGCAAAAGAAAAGGCAAAAAAACCAAGAGGCACCCCCCTGCTGCAGCTCTTGGCTCGGCTTGTCCTTAGGGCTGCTTTGTCAGCTCTAAGTAATACTGGGGAACAAGCCTGGCAGATAAACCCTTATGGGCAGGGGGGGCATATAGGTCAGCGTGGTCATGTGCATCCGCCGCACGGCTGGGCTGCTCATGAAAAGCCTGGGAAACCCTGTGAGGTTTGCAGCTCTTTTCTCTCATCTGCACTGACAGAGCTGGGTCAAGGGACTTGCCATCAGCTGCCGAGCGAGTCAGGCAGAGCTGCGATGCGCATGACGTCTTACACAGCACTGCACAGCTGCAAAATTTCTTGGAGGTGTAGGAACAAGGAGGCGAGGATGCTGCAACGGAGATGCCCTGCCCCCAGCTGGG